CGAGTGCCGCCCGGGCAGCCCCCCGCGTCCTGCCCGTGGCCCCGGGCAGCCCCTGCTCTGGCAGTCTCGAGCATCCTCTGAGGGTCCCGAGCATCCCTCCACCTTCCTGAGCATCTTCCCTGCAGCCCCGAGCATCTTCCTGCAGCCCCGAGCATCCCTCTGTGCTCTTGAGTATCCTTCTGCGCTCCCCAGCATCTTTCTGAAGTCCTGAGCATCCTCCTGCATCTCCAAGCATCCATCTGTGCTTCCGAGCATCCCCCTGCAGCCCTGAGCATCCCTTTGCAATCTTTCTTCCCTGCAGCCCCGAGCATCTTCCTGCAGCCCCGAGCAGCCCTCCGTGCTCCCGAGCATTCTCCTGCAGCCCTGAGCATCCCTCTGTGCTCCTGAGCAACTCTCTAGGTCCCCAAGCATCCCTGAGCATCCTCCTGCATCCCCCAGCACTGCTGACACCCCTGAGCACCCTCACTGCAACCCTGAGCATCCTCCCCACAACCCTGAGCACCTCCAGCCCCAAACATCCTCCCTGCAGCCCCCAGGATCCTCCCCATGGCCTCAAACACCTCCCTGCAGCCCCAGCATCCATCCCTGTCTGCCAGCCCCAGGGATTACTGCCAGAGAAGTTATAAACCAAGGGCAAAAGAGGCACAGGGGACTGGTTCCCTCCCTCATCCCGCTATTAACCTCCCAGCGCCCTCTTTGGGGACTGGGAAATGGGCCCCTGACGAAGTTTAATAGGAAAAAAATTGCTGTGATTTTCAGCAAGACGAACCCTGAGTGGGGCAGCAGCTTTGAGGAGGGTGGTGGCACCTGGGGCTCTGCTTTCCTTACCGGGCTGGGTTCAGAGAGGCCACAGCCTCTGGGAGGGGACACAGGGCACCCGCCTGTCCTGGGGTCACACATCTGCACCGGCCGTCTGTCCTGACAGGCAGCCTGGGACGTGACCGCCTTCCTATAACCCCGGAGACAGGGAAGACCTGGAATTGCCTCCTGCCTTGCTCACTCATGAACACTGTGATCTCCCAGGTTTTTTTTGGTGGCCCTGGTGCCTGTGAGCACTGTCCTGCCTTGGCATAGGGCAAAACCCACCTCTCGAGAGGCACAAAGTGGCGGTGAAGGACGAGAGGCCGGGGCAGCGCCGTGGACTGCGATGCTTCTGCACTGGTTTTAGCTCTGTCCATAGGCTGCTCCCCCCACCCAAAGAGGTTATTCCTGTCAATTTTGCCATTCCTGGCATGGAACCTTCCCCCTAGACCCGCAATAGAACCTAGCAGGTCAAACACAGCCTGGGTGGGAGCCGTTCAGCAGCCTCGTCCATTTGCCATATATGACTAAATCACTTCGTCTCTTCAGGCCGCGTCATAACTTGATTCATTTTGTTCCTAGCATTGCGCATTTCCCTCTCCTTGTTGCTACTGTTGACACTATCTGTTCATGATATTGTTGATATTTAGGGGCCAAGGCCTGAGAAAAGGGGTTCCAGGACAGGAGGGCAGCGAGAGGAGAGTCCAGAGCAGCCCAGAGGGCAGATGTGCAAGGGAGGGCAGATGTGCCAGATGTTGCCGCTTCCCGCGCTGAGCCGGGCAGCGGCATTTCCAGGCCGGGCTTCCAGCTTGGCCGGGCAGCCGGCCGCCAGCGGGGCTATTCTGGGCCCGCTCTGAGTGCTTGGAAGCCGTGAGCGGCCCCGGCACTCTCATGTTTCAGCAGTGCCGGTAAAGAAGGCATCGGCGGAGCGCGCGGGCAGCTCGCCGCTCCCGGGGTGCGCGAGCCGCGTCGTTCCCCCCGCTGCGGAGCCGGGACACCGTCCTCCCCAGGGAACCGCATCCATCCAAGGGCAAATCCGTTTCCAGCTCCAACTCCGCACCCGTCCAAACGGGGGGTTGTAGCGGCTCCCGTTTTGCTTCGACTTCCCGCTGTCGGCTCGCGCTCCCCATGGAGCCGTGGATCTTCTCGCACCCCTGCCCGCTCCGTCTCCTCCGTGGGTTTTTGGCACGACTCGCGCCGCTCGGCACGCCGACAGGCCCAGCGGGAAGCGCTGCGGCCGGCGCTGCGGCTCCCGGCTCCCTCCCCGGCTTTTTTACATATCTGTCACGCTATTTGTGATCTATTTATATGCTAAGTAACTAAAATCCAATTTTAGCATTTCCTATTACCCTTGCAAGGGCTGGCGTTGCTGCATCCCGGTGTCCCGCTCCGAGGTGGCCAACAACCCCCTGGAGCACCAATCCCCGCTCTGACAGATAAGAGGCAGGAAGCTTTTGAGGAAAATCCTCACTCCTCCAAATCACTGCAAGCTTCCTGCAGACTCCTGCGGATTAGGATTCCAGCCTTTTTTGTCTCTTCCCAAGGCTGCAGATTCTCAGTCCCCCAGGAGCAGGATCTAGCCGGTGTCAAGCACTTCTGAAAATCCCACTTTCATGTCTTTGCTTTATAAACATCACTTGTGCAGGAAGGATTTACACTCTTCTTTCTTTCGTTTTGGAATAAAACCCAACTCCTCGAGGGAGGAGGACGTCGCTGGTGCAGGGGGCCTGGCTGCTGCTCGCAGTCTGCACTGGGGGCTCGTGGGCGGCCACTGAGGCCACTGCAGGAACCTTTCAGGCCACAAACACCCCAGGCCGGGCATGAGGAGTGAGAGCCCAAAGTAACACCCCGCTCACCGCACCAAACCCCGTCAGCGGCTTCAGAGAATGATCTAAACGAATTTGATGTCCCAGAAAGAGGCACTTGAAAAATAAACCGGTGGCGTGGTTTAATGACAGCATTTTCCACATTTTTATTATAATGGCTCTGGGTTTTATTGGAAGGTTAGCAGCTCATCTGAGCATGAAAACAAGGCAATTTGGGAGGCCAGCCCTGCGTGGCTGAGCAGGCGCTAAAGCTCCGGCACTTCTGGGCCATTTGGGCTCTGCGGCACCTGGAGGAACCTGCCCTGTCCTCCTTGGAGCACTCTGCAGCCTCCCGCTGCCTTTGTAGCCACTATCAACCCCGTTTTTGTAGCCGTTATCATCCCTGTTTTTGTAACCATGATCACCCCGTTTTTATAGCCGTTATCACCCCCATTTTCCAGCTTGAAAAAGCGGGGCCGGGAGAGCTGAAGCATCCTGCCCCAGTGTGCACGAGAAGGGGAAGGACCAAACCCTCTGCAGCCGGGCACGGGAGCGGATCAGGGTGCCCTTTGCATGGGGTGAATGTTGCCAAGGGAAGACGGGCACAAGGGAGGCAAAACCCACCCGAGAACCTCGTCAGAGGTATCAAAGCCCCTGGCTGGGCTGGGGGCAGCGGTGGCAGCGGGGAGGGTGCAAACCCTGACCCTGATGGCACTGGGTGAGCGGGAGCAGCGACGACAACGCGGCTGAGGGCCGGAGACCCAAGACTCAATGCGGAGAGAAAAACATCCCCAGGATGCGGCTCAGCATCCCGGTGCTCCCGGGAAGGCAGGAGGAGGCACCCAGGGAGCGGGACCCCATGGGGAAACGCAGCCCCAGAGGCCCCCGAGCCACAGGAGCCCGGGCAAGGTGGGAATTCCCCCAGGATTTGCCATTTGCTCCCAGTTAGACCTGGCCTGGGGTGATAAATACAGATTACGGAGCGATTCCTTTCCCTGGTGATTCAGAGCGCGCTGATTAAATGCTATTTCTTTGTTCCTGGGAAGTAAAGAAACTGCAGCTCATACAAAGAAATTGCGATCTCCAGCTGCGAGGAAAGATGCACCCTGACTCCGATAAAACCTGCTGCGGATTCGGGTGGCTCTGAAGAGAAAGAGGAAACAATGAGTGTGGTTTCCCAACGTTGTAAAGCTTCTTATTAGAGGGCATTAAATTAATTCTTTTACTCCTAAAAACCCCAACTTGTCACTATTTTTAGGCTCACGTATTATTTTAAGAGACTTTTTCCAGGGTCCAGTCACATGGAAGTTAAACAGCGAGCGCTGAAGTCTCTAAAGGATAATAAACTCGCTCAAATTACTTGGCTAATGGAACAAAGAGTACTGTAAATGTCACACACGAGGTAACAAGAGGAGTGGAAACCTTTGCGTGAAACAACGGATCCATTAGCACTGAGCTAAAGAAAATAAAAAGCGCAGCAATACTTTTGCACAGTTCTTTGCCGCTTGCCACTCAAAGCCAAATAAACGTGTTTGTTCCCTGAGACCCTGCGCTCCCAACACGGCATCCAGCTTCCTAATAACCCGTGCTCCCAAGGCATCGATCATTTAGGAATCCAGAGCCCTTTATAGGCAATAATTAAGCCCCAGCGCACCCCGCTGAGTCAGTGGAATTATTTCTGCTTAAAACTGAGCCGCAGAGAGGGAATAACCGAATCACTGATTGGAGACCAGAGCTGAGCAGAGGGACAGACCCACGGCTTCTGTGCTAATCACCAGGCGATGCTAATTGATTATGGCTTATCCCAGGCTTAATGAAGATATCCATCACCTTCCAAGGTAAGGGCACGATCCCGCACTTCGGACCTGGCCCCTCCGCTTGCTGAGGTGTCTCCGTCGGGAAGCTGATCCGCAGGGAGCCCGGATCGAGCAGAGCAGCCACCCGCCGGGGCCCGGAGCTCCCCTCCAGCAGCTACGGATATTCCGGGATATTCCGGATACTCGGAAAGCCTCAAAATATCCCACAGGCTCAGGTAATGCCAACAGTGCGACTGGGACGTGACATATCAACACCGGGGAATCATGACGGAAAGCTCACGCGGTTGTGAAATGACGGTGCCTTAGAAAAGCAACAAGCAGGAAAGACACAAAAAATGAAGTGCGGGAAAAAACGACGGCATCCACGGGAGGTCTCGCAGGCGAGCAGCCTCTTGGCCCCCTCTGCTCCGTGATTCAGTCCTCCTGGAAGTGATTTACAGCCACCCAAGGGAGCAAATACCCCCAGGTGGGAAGTGCAGCGTATATTTGGCTCCAACCCTGAGCATGTTTACAGGGAGGAGGAAGAGTTGTGAGATGAATCTTCTCTTTGACAGCTTTGAGATCTCTTAACCAAATCCCACACAATCCCAAAGCGCTCTCTGAGTTTCTCAAAATGTAATTAGTCAAGGCTATTCTGTACACCTAATTATATAGGTATAAGTTAATTGGAGCCGAGGGCTCTAAATCATGTAGCTGAGAACAACATTTTCTGAAGGCAAACGGGCCCAGGTGGGGTGGCAGCAGCCAGAACCACCCAGCTACCTGTCACAGCGCGGTGGCTGCCGAGGACCAAACGAGGAGTCGGAGCGGCGCTCCGAAACGGATGAATTCCGGCTCTCCGACTGCTGCAGCTCCCTGCGCCTTAGTGTGGCTGGCTGGAAAAGGGGAAAGCCAGGGAGCTCCGGAGGCCGCGCTCCCTTTTTAAGTTAGCTCCCTTAATGCTATTGGCAAGCAGAGCTCTCCCGAGCTCCGCGTCCTGCTCTGGGAATCTGCACGCTGGAAGCCTCATGCCGTCCCTCCCCACCGCCGTTTCCTTGTATTCCCATCTAGGTACTATATTTTGTTAGCTGCACTTACCACGCTCTCATCCTCCAGCAAGCTGTTGCTAAAGAAAACACTATCACGAGATTAATGTTTATGAATGGCTTAAAATACAGCTCCGCTTCCCAGCATGGATGTCTCTCCAGGCTTTAAGGAAACTTCCCTTCCCTGCTCATCCTCCCCCTGCCGTTTAAGGAGTCACTGTCTTTCAGAAGAGCTTTTGTCTCGACTCCGTGTTTTGGAGGACAATTTCCAGGTCAAATCTGAAATCAGGCATCGTGCAAAGTGTAGCATGTTTGTCGGTGAATCAAAGAGCCTAAGTATTTATATATCCTTCTACAAACAAACTTTTAAATAGAAAAACATGTTTCAGTTTTAAAAAAATGTGAACAAGTAATGTGCCTAGCAATTGCAGACTGGGGTATTTTTTAAATGCAGGAAATACAGACCAATTTTCTATTAGTGGCATTTTTGCCTGTTGATGCTGGGGACACCGGAGCAGCCTGCAGTGCCACAAGTGGCTTCCTCATAGCCCAGGGACAGCTCAGCGGTGTCTCAGGGGAAGGCAACGCGGTTGGGCCAAACGCTGCCGCATTCCCCGTAACCTCAAGCGCGATTCTGCATGTCAGAAATACCTCCAGAGCCTGCAGACGTCCAGGACCTTAAATGTGCTGTGAATGGAGGCATCTGGGTGGATTTGAGCAGCAGAGAGCAGTAAGGGAGCGCACGGGGTAGCTCATCACTCTTCACTTCGCCTCCATATCACGCTCTGGTTTTAAGCATCACATCCAGGAGATACCAAAGCCAGAGCTCCTTCTTCAAGGAATGCATCACTCACCTGCGGACTGTTCCACTCCAGACTGTCCTTACTGCAAGACCTGAAATTACAGCAAAAAGCAGTGTCAGGGCGGCTCACGCTGTGTGTGACACCGTTCGGGTGACCCGGGGGGTGGGGGGAGCTCTCTGCAAACAGCCCACAGGGACAAAACGGTCCAGACTTACTCCAAAAATAAGAAGCCCTGAGAAAATCATGATTTTCAGCAGAAACTTTATCAAATGCTGCTATTATGCACTAAGTAGCTTCACTGCAAATGAACCAAATCCACTTGAAGCTATAAATCTGAAACTAAGCTGAAGTGTAACCTTCAGGTCTAGACTTGGACAGTATTTTAGAGCTAAACTATAAATATTTGAACCTTTGCTGTCTGAATGCAATGGATTTGTTGGGCCTATCTGCATAGTTACCAGTTATTTCAAAGAATTTTCCTGATTAAATGATTTGAAACATTTCCTTCTCATATTGGTATGTGATACTTGGCTAGTAAACATGGAAATTAACTATCGCTAGCATTAATATTAATTCTTTTTCTTTGGCAGAAAGCATTTCCTGTTTGACAATGCATGGAACTAAGTACCAATCAAGATACTTACAATGCGCATTGAAGCCTATTAATTATATATGATCACATTTCTTTATGTTTTTGGGTCATACTTAGTACTAAGATCCAGATTCCATTTGCAATTAGTAGAGAAATAAAACCGAAGTCATCAGCAAAGAATGATTCAATCCATTGAAAGAGTATTATAAACCCCCTCTTTGCACTGTGAAATAAATTAATCGAAAGCCATGACTCACATACACTAGCAGTATCATTTTTCAGAAGGGTGATGTGCTGGAAACGAGCTTTGGGGAAAAGTTTGGACACTGGCCCCTTAGCATGCCTGTTGGTCCACTTGCTTGATATAGAGACACCAAGAAAACAGTCCTAGATTGTACCATAATGAAAGAGGGAATTTTTCTCATTTTATGGGTGTTTCAAATCTGGTGCAAATAGGTGCAGTTTACGGGACAGCACATGAAGGGCGGCTCAGCCGGTGCGTGACGGTGCAACGGGGCAAGTGCACGAACAGGAGGGCAGAGAAACCCGGCTCGTCCCGCGGGGCAGCTCACCGGGCGCCCGGGATCTGCGGGGTTCATCTCAGGGCTGCACGGAGCGGATCCTGGCGCTGGAAGGATTAACAACCTTCCATGCTCTGCACCTAACGTGAACTTCCTGGTGCCACTTTAGAACCCAGAGTTCAGTGAAGCCGGGGAATCTGGCAAGAGAAAAAAAAAAAAAAAAGTCCAATTTCAATGGCTCGTGCAATTCAGTTTCACTGCTAAAAGGATACGAAATCCCGTTCACACACTGATTATAGCAAATTTCATCCCAGAAGAAGAAAACGTCCTAACTGATCGGCTGCAGGGAATGTTGCCTTTAAAATCACTGTAGCACCCTGGGAAACAGCCAAGCGTTTCCAAAAAAAACACTATGAGAAAAACAGGCTCACGTGAGGATGCTTTAGCTTTAGCTCTCACCAGCCTTGAGTTTGGGTGAGTGATGCGGGCTGGGACCCCCGGGCAGCAGAATGAAACCTCCAAAGCCCAAACTGTGGTTCTGGCCGCTTGTTTTTTCACAATGTTCATTGTGATGAGTAATGTCACTTTTAAGCCTAATTATGCAGGTGCATTTATTACCCTACACTTGGCCGTATCGCTGGGGTACTTGCGTAATTTCACAGACGAGTGACACTTAAGACAGCACATTACTGTCGGCGGCCTCCATCTCATTTCATGCTAATTGCTCTCCAAAATTGTGTGATGCAGCTTTGACATGAGAACATTTTCAACAGTGTCATTAACGTAGGGGGGCACATTTCCTGAAGTAATTACAGCCGACATCCTCGGCCATTCCTCATTATTTGATACAGCCCCACCCTGCCCACACTTTAGGGTTGATTACCAAAAAGACATATATTATCTGCCCTCTAATTGGAAGTGTGATAAATGGGTTGCTTTAAGTAAATATTACCTGTTGTATCCAATGACCCCTAATGTTCAATTACTTAGTTTTTCTAGTACTTATCTAACCTGTAACTTTATTTATTTTACATTGCAGGCCCTGCTAAATGATGCTGGGCTAGACAACATCAGGACAAATTCTAATGAACTGACCATATTTTAGATGCTCCTTTGTCCCAGACTGATCATTTATGCAGCGCAGGAAAAGGAAGGGCCTTTTTCAACTAAAATGACAAAGAATTTCAGTGCAAAAGAAAGAAGATAGGACTGATTCGGGGGTTGCTAATCCAGCTTTGCGGTTAGTTCCAATCTGTGATGCTCAACACAGCAGCTCCCTGGAATTCACCGTATTTTTTAACGTGCAATTTAACACGTCGTGCTTCAATTTCCCTTGCTCTAAACGCGTTCCCGGGATGTTTCACCCGGCAAACCCGGGAACCTGCGAAGTTCTCCCTGCAGAACCGGGACCGCCCCGCGGGGCCCCGCGCGGTGGCGCGGGCCGGGGGACACGTTGGCGGATGGGGCGGGACGGCAGCGCGGGGCTGCCCGTCGCTCCTGGAGGAGGCGCGGGAACACCCCGGCGTTTCCAGGGATGCGACGGGCTCCGGTTTTCCCGCCTGGCGGGGACCCGGCGCCGCGCGGAGAGCGGGCGGCCCCG